TCCTTAAGCTTGGGTCCTCTATCAGAGGCCTGGGAGTTTGAGGGTTCTGCGCAGTATCTTAGCTGTTCGTAGGACAGCACTCTTCTGGACAGAGACCTCAGATGTTGTACCTGGAATCAGCTGGAGCCACTCTCCCAGTTTGAGGGTGCTCCGATCACCACTGGCACCACTGTTGCCTTTATTTCCCACATCTTCTCTAGCTCCTCTTTCGGCCCTTGGTACTTTTCGAGGTTCTCGTGCTCCTTCTTCCTGATGCTGCTGTCACTTGGGATTGCTACACCTATCACCACTGCCTTCTTCTGTCGATCAGTACAATGTTCAGTTGGTTAGTCATCCCCAGTTTGTCAGTCTGGATCTGGAAGTCCCACAGGATCTTAGCCTTAACCTTAGGAGGCGTCCTCCATTGTGAGCTTGGGACTTCCAGCGCATACTCAGTGCAGATGTTTCTGTACACTATGCCAGCCACTTGGTTAGCTAACCTTCACCTGGCAGGAGCATCATCTAACTCAGCAAGGAAGCTAATACGGTATTTACCAAAATGTCAGACTATTCCTTTAAAGCCAGTGCTTCCTGCTGCCTCATAGAAGCCTCCTCCTGGAATGACTGGTATGCCTCTCATTGTGTGTGTGCAGCATGTGTGTAAGCTACGTCATGAAGGAATTCACTTTGTCTGGCTGTGGTTTATATCATTTGTAATAAGCGTCCATGAAAGGCACTTGTTTACAGTGTTATATAGTTATGTCATAGGCCAGATGGCAGCAGCAGCAGCAGCGTTATGACTTGCTGTTATCATTCCCAAATTCTGTCAAAGCCTCTGACTCCTACCGATTTCCATTCATGGTCTATGTATGACTGTGTCTGTGTGAGTATGACTTTACTTACCTTCAGGGACACACACCACACTCACTGGGGACGCCTTGTCCATTTGGGGTCCCCAGTTCAGTAAAGGTTGATTTTAGGGTCAGTGGTTAGGGTTAGGGTTAGGGTTATGTTCAGAACCCAAGATTATGAAGTAGGGTTGGCTGGACCACCTTAAAGGACAGTCCACCTTAAGAAAGCCTGATTAGGGTTGAATGGGCACCAGGTGCAGCTCATTCATGCCACTCATTATTTACACCATGAGTTATGTGAGTTAAACCTCTGTGAGTTATCTTGAAGTCTACATTCTTGTATTATTGTATGTTTTGGTGTCCTGCGTATGACTCGTAAAATTTATGGATGTTTCAGTGTTGTAGGCCACATTTTCTCTTGACAGCCAGCACACTCCCTGGGTTTGATGTCTGTCTTAAAGCGGTGAATGTCTGTTCCTGCCTTAAGTGAGAGCTGATTTAACCCTTTTCATGACTGTTAAGGTAAAACCCATGACACTCTCCTTTAATACCCTGAAACTCTTGGATTTACATCAAGGGGGGTTTTGGTCAATTGTGGTTTTCTTCTTTTATTTATTGCACTGCTGACTGCTGTTTAGCCTAGGTTTTTTATATGTATTTAATGTGTGTGATAGTTTGTAAAGGTGATATTAACAGTAGAGGACCCATTTTAATATGTTTTGTCTTTGCTTTTAGGCTGAACCCTGACTGAGGAAGGGAGGGTTGGGGCCAGTCCAAGCCGGGGCCTGGCTCCCCTTGCATCCACTCCTTTTGCACGGTTGAGTGTTTGGTGTGTTTCACCTTACATTTCATCTTTAGTTACGCGTGTGTATAACCTCACTCCCCTTGTTTTGCATTGGCCTGATTGGGTGTTCCCCCAAATTCCCTCTGCCTTGGTAGACAGCAACCCCAATTTTTTAGCAAAAATGACCATGTGAAATTGTCCCAGTCCTCACCCTCTGGTCATAATTCTTAACGCTGAAATCACCTAATAGAGAAAAATGACAATACTCATTTTCCAACAAAAAACATGACTTTTTTATTTTTAATGAATGGTTTACTCATATCAATGAATCAAGTGATGCTTCAAAACACACTGCATATATATATTTTGCATTGTATTCGTCATTACAACTCAAAATACCCCTAATTTCTGACGTATCTCCAGAAAATGGTACGCCGAAAGCCTTCTGAGATGAGCACTCTGTGTACGTAATCAATAAAATGCATCATGATCTGATTGTTTCATTAGAAAATCAAATCAGGACAGTGTTTATTTTTGATACTCTGAGCCACTGCCCTTTCAATGGATGAATATTTTTTTTTATTTTTTAACATTTTAATGAACTACAAAGATCAAAAGCAGGCACCACACAAACACAACACAAAGACAGTTTGCCAGAGATCACAGACTAAACTACATCAATAATATACGTGCTTAGGAGATCATTATATCATTACTCCATATTAAGAGGGTTTCTGACTTCTACTTAAAGGGTTCAGACTCCTATTCCTACTACTGGCCTATCTTTAGTATTCATAACAGTTCTTATACTAAATCATATGCCTCTTGTTTATACTTTGATTAGTGTCCATGGTCCATCTAAATCATCTCTAGTGCTGAGGCTGCACGCTACATCATCATCAACTCGATGAAATCCTTCAGCCAGTTATTTAAACAAAAACAATTTAGTTTCCATACTTTCCAGTTAATAAGAATAAATCTTTTTTGCAGAGAGGAATGCCAGTGTCAACAGATGTTATATTACTCCAGATTTTACACCATCCACTTTCAACAAACACACTTCTGGGCATAGTGGTACAGCCACATTTAGCATTGAACATAACACATTTTGGACTCCTTCCCACATTTTTCTTATGTCTGGGCAGTGCCATAACATATGCATTACGGATCCTCTCTTTCCACAACCATGCCAGCATAGGTCTGATATATTCCCTAATGGCAGTGCCCCCCCAAGCAGAAAAGAGCAGCATGCCACTCTACAAAAACTGTTTAGAAATGGCCTGTGGAGCATGACAAACAGCTCAAGGTGTCGACCTGGCTTCTAAATTTCCCGGGTCTGCTCAAGGATTCTTGTGACGTACCCTAGATAATCCAAGGTGGGGCCTTCTTGGATCGGACTTTCTCTGACCTGTCGCGGCATGGACACAGGATCTCTGGGAGTGTCCTGCGGTGCCTGGCACCAGTGTGTTGGCAGCAGATCCATTTAGTCCAGTTGGTTGTGAGGTGGGTTAATGGCACATGCCACAGATGCTCATTCAGATTGGGATCTGGGGAATTTGGAGGCCAGGTTGACACTTTGAGGTCTTTGTCATATTCCTCGGGCCATTCCAGATGTAAGTTTATTTATGATGGATTTTGATAAGTAGTTTGTATATCTTATTATATTGTCCCATTGTTGAAGTGGCAGGTGTTTACCAAGGTCATATTCCCATTGTTATTTAACTTTATCAATATTACTACAGGAGTAGAGTGAAATAAGTCTATAAAGTTTGGATACTGTGTCTCTATTTCTTGCAATCTCTCTTAGTCTTTATCTGAGGCCAGCATGAGACAAGAGTTTCTGCAATATGGATTCCAATTATAAATACTGTTGAAAAATTAATTCTTTAGGATTAAAATTAGCTTTAATTTCAGTGAGTGTCGTTATTTTCGCCTGCTTTACAATTTGTCCCAATTTCCTGATGTTATGACTTTCCCACACCTTACCAGCAGTGAACAATGGGTTCTTCCACAATGGACATGAAGACAACCCTAATACTTTGATTGCACATTTCTTTTGTATTGCCTTTCCTATACCACATGAAAAATGAATAATCAGATTCTTAATATCTATACTACACCACAAAGAAGAGAGGGATATTTGCTTTTGACTCTTATCAGTAATCATATATCAATTAACGGATATTTTTGGGAAAAAAGCTATAAATCTTTCATATTTTTGACATGTATACATAATATAACATCTTATGTTTACCTTAAACACCGTTTAAACACAAATGATGTACCTTAACAATATGATTTATAGACTGTGTGCTTCCTCTGTGCCTCGTGGTCGGCCGTGCTTACTAATAAAGGGGCCGTGGCTCTACTGCAGTCCACTTTAGATGATGTGGAACACTGTGGTTGGTTTATAGACGCACCATCAAATAAATCTGCACAATTGGGTGGGGTCAGATGACAACAATCATAGATCTAGACCACGGTCAGACCGTGGGCCAGAGCTGGCCGACCAAAGGGTCCAATCTGGCCCACTAGATGACTAGACTAAGTGGTCCTAGGTTTCACGTGCAGGTTGAAATACTGCTTCAGAGGCTTTTCCACCCTGACCCAGATACAGTCCTCTGATATAATAATGAATACTTACTGTGAGCATGTTTAAAGATATTGAACATTGTGCAAAATATTGTCAATCAACAGCATCAGTTCAAAAGAATCCGTATCAGGAAATGTATGGATAAATGCTCATGCAATGACAATGAGAAGTAGACTGACTGAATGTGGAAAAACTGGGTCATATGAGGCCCATTAACTAAAATGAGTTTGACACCCCCAATCTAGACATCTTAAAAAATTATATCGATTGGAATGGACGGGGAAATCTGACCAGGTTAATGCTGGGGTTTGGTAAGGGTTAGGATTAGGTAGGTAGTGTGTTTTGTGTGTCTTGCTGATGCTCGTCTGGTGTACACAGTGATTAATAATCTGGCTGCTCCACCTTTAAAGAGTTCGTACAACTGTGCTCAGACAATGGGAGGACATCTAGGACGACCAACAGAGGCGACTGAACAATACAGCTCAGATCTACTGAGTTTGGTAGATCAGTCTTCTCTGTTAGAGCTACAAACTATTGGAACTCAAGTGAGATGAAGTTTTAAATTTAAGATGAAATCATGGCTAAAATCGACCCAATCATATTCATCAAAATAGTGGATAATGGTAAGGGTTAGGGTAGGTCTTCAGGAAATGAATGTATCCCTTTGTAATTTACCCAAAAGTGATCAAACATGTTCGTGTACGTGTGTGTGTGTGTGTGTGTGTGTGTGTGTGTGTGTGTGTGTGTTACAAGCTAAAATACATACCGAAATCAAAAATAAAGGTACACCACCTGTCAAATAAACTTTTATTATTTCCAAATCAAAACAATGTCACAATTCCTCTGTACACAGACTGCCATTGTAGTCATGGTAGTTTATTCACATGCATGCTCATATATATATATATAATATTTTAATAATGTGGATATTTCCAAACATGCTTGCAAAAGTATAAGTGTGCACGTCTTTGTGTTTAATCACAAGTGCCTGCATACACATGCACCAGTCTACGTGTGTGCAACTTATCATGTTTCTCTCTATTGCAGGGGTTAATCTACAGGTTTGTCCCACGGTGGGTCACAAACCTACTTCTGGTGGGTTAGCATGTGACAGAGAACACTAGTTTGTTGTCATGAATCAGGATCTGAGTTGAGCGAAGATAAATGGATTTATTTAATATGCTGCAGTCTGAAAGTTTAATACTCATACTCGTATTCATAGTCATACTCCTCATGGTAGGGGTAGGGGTACAGTATGTAACCGGTAAAGATATTGTACTGCACGTATCTACAGAGCTTCCTCCCAGACATCAGCTCAGCATAGACCTGATCGCCTTTCTGCAGCTCCATTACAGTCTCCTGAAAGCAGACACAGTAAACAGAGTAATGTTTTGCACAGCTGTTACAAAATCATGAGGGAAATTATTTTTAAGCAGCTTCAACTTTTTACCTGAACGGCGTTGTCTTCAAAATCTTCTCGATTGTTCTCCCACACGCTGCTCATCGCCACCCCATTCCTCATCAGCTGGACCTACAGATGCAACAAAACACAAAGTTAGAAATGACTTGCTGCTGCAGAAGAGTGTATTCTGAAATCAGAGAGGTGTTAAGTGTATCTGGTTGGTTTACTTTATGGTAGAGGAGGTTTCTCTCCTTCACGTATGAGTAGACGGTGATGGAAAAGACATAAACACCGGCATATGGGGCAGTGAAGACACCTGCAGGGGGAGGCGAAGAGTGGCATTTTTTAATTTAAAATGGTGGGTACAGATTTCATAAATCATTTGTGTTTACTCCTTCTGTGTGTGTGTGCTTCCTACCCATGGAAGGGTTATATCCGTGGTAGTGGTTAAGAGCGACATTGCTGTAGGGGATTGGCACATTAGTATTAAAAGGACCAAAGCACGGATCAGAGTCAGTAGTTCCAGGAGTCATTGTGGCAACACTTGGATCCATGATGGCTTTGAAGGCGATCTGGACGCCATCTGAGAGTAAGAGAGATTGTTTGTGTGTGTGTATTGCCAGATATATTAGACTACAATCCACCATTCGTCTGTGTGTTTATGTGTCTTCACCTGTGTAGTCATGCACTCTGTACTTCAGTGTGCTGATATTGTGCCACAAGTAATGAATCCTTTTGAAAATATCATCCTCTAACTGGAACATGTCGTTGGCTGCACAGCAGCAGCCGCGCTGGCGAGTATAGGCACATTCGCAGTCCCACTGTTTGCAGGTCATAGGTCCCTCCCAACTGACTGGAATACGAGGGAGGAAGGGTGAGAGGGGAGAAGGGAGAGGGAGAAGAGGTTGTGTGAGAGACAAGTTCAACATGGAGGCCAGAGGGTTCAGTTTGTAGCAGGACGCTGCTTCAAACAACTTTATCTAGATGATGTGTATATGCAGTGTGGATGAGTACTAGATGACATGAATAAAGTGTGGCAGTTTGTCTCACTTACGTGCATCATTTTTAAGCAGTTCACCGATGGTCTGCCCGTCCTCTGCACTACCACAGTGAAACAGCGACCCCAATAGGAACAAAACTGGTAATACAACCATCTGGAAAACAAAAATTATTCAGTATGTGAGACCCGTTTTACATGTAATGCAAATACATTTGACTTAAAGAACAAACAAAGATGTAATCTTTTACAGTTTCTGAATTCATATCAGTAAGCCCAGATATCACTTAATGGTGATTCTGTTTAAGAGTTTGAACTCATTTCTGTGCCAAGTGTTTCTGTGTAATACTGTTTAATACCTCAGAACTCTATTCAGACTATCTCCACTGTTGAGCTGTATTGTTTTGTGTTCCTGCAGTTATCTGTTCAATATGCAAATAATTGAGAGCAGCCATTTCCACTATAAACAACACTGTATGCATAATCTCCAGGTCATAATGTCATAATGGCCTCTGTTTGTATTATTTCAATGTGTCAACATTAAGAACATTCTTTATATTGAAATAATAATGAGTTATATCACCAGTAAATCCTTTGACAAGACCTAGTAGCTCTTTTAAAATGTATTATTATTATTAATAATGTATTAATTCCTATTATTTAAATTAATTGAAAAGAGAATATATAGGTGGCTTATAGAAGATTGGAGACTTTAACTATACTGTTGTTGTATTTAATGTATTAGTTATAACTTATTCTATTAGTTAGCCCACATCTCTTTAACTGTTTAGTTATGTTTCTCTCTATTGTTATTACACTGTGTATTGGTTGTTTATATTTTTTTTTTGTTTTCAATCTTCCCTTTAACACTGACCAAATTTTTTTTTTAAATTACAAATATTACAAATTACAAAAAATTTCCGCTCCACAAATTTCACCCAATCTTCCTCTAATTATTTGCAAAAAAATTCATGTTTTCATTAATTTATTTTTATTTCTCATTCCTATAATTTATTGCTTTGTGTAATTCTAGCCATAATCTGATAAACTGTGCACACATCATTCTTCTTCTTCTCATTATTATTATTGTCATTGTTATTAATAATAATAATTATCATTATTATTAATTAATATTATTAAATTACAAAAAAAGGTAATTGTAGTTGTTACAGTCACTAAAAAACATGTGAGTCAGTTACTCTACAGAAATGTTGATCATTACATCCAAATATATTCCTGTTTGGTAAAAAGTTTATATGTAGAATATAACATTAATTCTTTTGCCTTGCCTCTTTTCATCATGCAGTAATGCTTCCTTTGGGCAGTGACTATTTCCAGATATTATTTACCTTTATTGCCCAGTTTAAAACATTTATTAGAAGAGTAATCACAAAGTATTTCAAATATAATGTTACATTACTTTGATGCAGTGATTAAATCATTGCGTAAACAGTAATGCGTAACCGTAAGAAAATTAGCAGCTAGAGGCCCTTGTCTGGTGAATATTGGATTTACAATCGCCAAGAGGCCAGAAACACAGCTCACAGTGGGTTCCCCATGTTGTTCTGTGTCTGATGGATGTGTTAAAAGGCATTTGCTTTTCAACAGGTTAGCCTAAACTTTTTCACATACTTTGTATGTATTTGACTCTGTCTGCCCCCTAGTGGTTAGAAATCTCTTCATGAAGGCTTTAATTATTACACAGTACCAGTGGTTCTCAAATGGTGTCGCTATCTAACATTAACCCAGCCGACTTTAATTAATCCAGGTGCTTAATCTATTAATTGTGAAGGTATTTAATTCAACAGTAACCCATTACATATTAAAAATGACCTCCAGATGTATTACAATACCTGTCCAACTTTCTTTGTATCTCAAAACCTACTCAGTCAATCGTTATACCCAGTGATAAGCAAAAATATTTTAGCTAATTATTGGATATAATAATTGGTGATTGACATCCAGAGAGACCATTTGGGATATCTTTTTCATTGCATGATATAACTGGTGAGCGATAAGGATAGAAACATTAAACTTACTGTTTTTTTTGTTCCTCCTTCTCCTCGGTCTGAAAGACTCTGAGTTTGTCAGACTGGGAGTAACAGTTTTAAGCAGGCGATGGTTTTGGCCTCTTAATGACGTACTTCAGGTGAACATCCCCTTGAGGAGGTGAATGGCAGAAGCTCCACCTTCTCACATGTACGCACATGCGTGCACACAGACACACACACACATAAACACACATGTTTCACAGCCAAACCCTAACACTACAGTTCCCTCCACAAAAAGGGTCATTTACATCCTGGGCAAGAATTGATCTTGTTGCAACTTTCAGGACCCTATTGTTGGGACTACAATACCCCTTATTGGGACAGCAGTGTCTGATTGCCACCCACCCAGAGGACTCCACCTGCTCAGAAACGCTGATATGGAGAACATTGTTGTCAGGTCTCGGAGGATATAATAGCCTACAGACAAGGGGACAAAAGAAGCTGATAGGAAGGTGTTATCGGCCCATTGATAAAGGCCTAAATGTGAGAAAACTATACAGCGTCACCTGGTTCTCATGCTGAGATAGAAGGAAGAGAGCAGTGATACTAGGTGTTCCCATAATTACTTTCCCTTTGGACACCAGTTGGAAACCCAGATGTACTGATTGAAGTGTGTGTTGAGATATGTGAAAGGTACTAGGCTAAAGTGGACTCCATATTCATGGGAATAAAATGATGTTGTGAGGCAATATTTATTCAATAATAAGTCACAAAGCCATTAACAGGAAGGGGTTGCCTTCTTTTATCACTGACAGGTTCAAGGAAGGTCAGTTTCTGAGAGACATCCGAGCCCCTTGTGCAAAATGTGTTGTGCAGACAAACAAAGACGCTGGGAGCCACCTTGATCCTGATTTAGAGATTTTGGCTGATTGGGCTTCGGGTGTTTTACATTCTTTTGAGAGCTGACTGTACGTCTGTAAGTGAATAGTGCTTTCTGCTAAGACCGTATCTGTTTCTGAGTTTAGAAAATAAATCATGGTTGCAGTTATTTGGGAGAAGTTTTGTTATGGAGGCACTTTTAACTTTTGCTCCTTTATGGCCTATGAATTTAGTACCAAATGAAGTCACAGCCGTGTAGTCACAGAAAAAAAGGAATGGATGGAAAATTGAACAATTATAACCAAAAAGTGTGCTGATATTTATGGGTTATCAGACAAATATTAAATGGATCGCCATGACATCTGTAGATTAATCAAACTTTTCATCTAGCACCACTGCAAGGCTAACATATTTGGTTTATAGTGAAACGTCTGAACAATGATTAGAGATTGCCATGTAATTTATAAGACTGATGACTGTATTCAAAAAAGGATAACGTGTCTTAATGTGGCAGTAACTTTCGATGTCAGAAACCAATGAAAAAACGTGTCCTTTGACGTTGGCATGATACACGGCCGGTTGCTGTTATAGTTTAACGGCACCTGGCAGCATCACGGGGTTGGCGGCGGGACAAGGAAGAAAGTTAAGGCGATGAAAGTCCGACTGGGGCGGACAGGAGTGGTGGAAGTTTCAGCAAACACCGACTTTCACCCGGGAGAGAGGTGTTTGCGTAATGTAAGATTCTAAAGCCAAACCGTGTTCTTTTTTCCTAAACCTATACTTTCAAAAACAAGTACACAAATCCCCACAATTTCCCCACAAATACAACATGCTAATGTTATTAGCACAAGCCTATGGCATTTTACATTGTATAAATTAACCTAGCAGCTAGCTGACTTTTCCTCTACTCATATAAAACCAGGGACAACAGCAACATTTAACAAAGGTAACGTTACAAAATTCGGCTCTATTACAACTCACAAGGTTCACTGACAAAACAACTGTCTTATACTATGCGCTTTCCAAACAAATATAACATGCTAACGTTATTAGCACAAGCCTATGGCATTTTACGTTGTATAAATTAGCCTAGCGACTAGTGGAGATTTCATCATCTCATATGAAGCCAGGATAAATCACACACAAGACATGAAAATGTTATTTTTTGGGCACTTTATTGTCTTCACAATTTATTGTTTCATATATGTGAAGTTGAAGAAAAATTGAGGGAAATGGTTTCAGCTTACAATAATAGACAGGAGGTCTTCGTCGCTGCGACGTGTAGTTACATTTCCGGGGAGGTGCACGTCAGGCTACGGCGTAGGCTCTACGTCGATTTGACGCAGATGTATAAATCCCGCTTGATCTGTTCATTAAGAAGTGACAAATGAATCTCATATCAGACATTTTCAAAATCATTTTTTACTCAGCACTTCAAGGACTTTGTATATAAGTCAGTATTTATATACAGAACATATCTGAAAACCTCAAATTTGGGGATATGTGCAAAGACGGGCTAAAAATTATGGCGGCATTTATGAAAAAGAACTACAGAAATCTCTACAGTACATGGTGTACACCTATAGGTAGATCAGTTTTAACACAAAAAGCTTCCTGACATATGTAATGTAATGCAGTGAAGAACAAACCCACTAGTGAGTCTCTGTAGGAGATTTGGAGTTTCTCATATGCTACTGTCTACATATGTACAGAGCTTGATGGTCAGCTGAGTGTTCAGCTGCTCCTGCCGACATTCATCTCTGTGGGTTGTTTTTAACCTAAAAATGCACAGTCATTTGTTGCCATCCTTATCCTGTTAGTCCTATTAGATGACAGGGTGTTTTCCTGTGTTGAAGATTACCTTCAAAGTTGTCTCAGCTCCAGGGACAGTGCATTGTCTGTGTTTTTATGATAGCCACCTGCGTGTGTGGAGTCCCAAGTCAACTGACCTGGTTCTTCACATGGTCTTATCTGCCAGATGGAGGCTAGGGTGGATCGGGTGTTTTGTGTCTGCCTTGCACACAACTCTTAAAAAACAGACCTCCAGTCCTTGAGATGATTCATGTAACAGCATGGGATAAAAGTGATGTGCGCTGTGCTCTGACCTCAGATGTGATTTTAAACCACAGCTTTCAATTACTGCATAATGGTGAAAATAAAAGAGTGGCCATGTTTCAGAGATTGTTTGCTATGGAGGTGATAATGTGCCAGAGCTAGTTTTCCTGTGATGAAGCAAGTCATCAGCATGCGGCCATGACTTGTTAAAGACTCAGGGAAATGTCCAACTAATTACAGATTACTCACTGAGGTTTTTCTATTAGAAACATTACATCCTCATTATTTTGTCCCACAAATCCTCCTGCTGTTTGTGCAAAAATTATTACAACTATGGCAAAATCTCTTTTCGTTAGATTTTTTGAATTTAGTTGTATTTCATTCTTACTGATCTGCTGACCAGTGATAACCCTCCCTTTGCCACAAACCGGGCTTGGACATTTGCTGAAGCAGACAAAATACAGAAATGACCTCAATACCAGATAAGGAAATATTATTCTATATGTCATATGGTATAAGGCTTTTCCTATGTGGAACAGCCTCCAGTTTCAGTCTGGGAGGCAGACACTGTCTCTTTAAGAGTAGACTTAAGGCTTTACTCTATGATAAAGCTTATAGTTAGGGCTGGCTCAGGCTTGCCTTGGACCAGCCCCTAGTTAGGCTGATATAGACCAGGGGACTTCCTATGATGCACTAAAATCAGATTTGTTGATATTGAGTCATCAAAGCATATGTGACACGTGCCTGCTGGTCACACAGGAAGTAACAAAAAAATCTTTGTTGATTTTGGTACCCTCAGAAGATTAAACTGCATATTAAATACTTCTGGTTTTGACAAGTACTCATTTGTTATCAAAATTTAAGGGACTGGTGTTTTCAACAAGACGTGTTAGTTTGAAGAAAGGTTGTGCACATCCAACTGTCTCAGATGCAGGTGCGTTGAGTCTTTGAACAGAAACTCCAGCACACTGGTATTGCGCAGCTTCACAATTTATTTGTAACACTTATTCAGTCCTCCTGGACTGGAGTGTTCAACACTATTGTTTCAATGCCCTGGAACCTAAATGATGAGATATCAAGTTTGAAGTCATTGAAACATACTGCTTGCTACTGGGTAATCTCTGTCATTTCTCCTCTTGGAGCTCTTGTTCACTTATTCTCTGCTTCAGTGCAAGTGATGTGTTACCAACAAAGCATAACCCACAAGGACATTTGATCATATAAATTACATGCGTGGTGGAACATGTGATGGCATCGTTGATGAAATACTTCTTCCCAGTGTGTAGATGAGTAAAATAGTTCCTTTTGACCATATTGTTTAATTGCGCACATCCCTTAGCATTTGTAACACCCATTTGGAAGAGGTTTTAGCAAAGACTGTGTCCATTTTTTCTCTGATCTGAACACTCTCTCAAAGGATTAAATGATGGGATACCATGGCATGTCATGCTATAATGGATTTGGGGATCTCAAAAGACCAATTTATGATACAGTACATGACATAAGTACGGAAGTGTATTGCATTTACTTGACAAATCAAAAAAAAAAAGTGTTTTATTAATTATTTTTTCTGTTTTTCGGAGTAATTTTTTTATTTTTATTTTTTTCGTGGTAATTTCTTTTCTGTTTTTTTGTTTTTGGTTTTTTTTTTCAGGGTAATTTTTTCTGTTTTTCTGAGTATTTTTTTCTGAGTTAAGAGAGCAAGAGAACAACAGATGCTTTCATTCCTTTCTTGAGAGCTCGATATAATGGAAGCAGACATGACCCGCTTGTTTAGTTTAATCCAGTTTTACTTTGTTTTGGGTTTGAGACACTGGGAGATACTCTTGTCTTTAAGTCATATAGATGGTGTTATCATTAGTTTGTTGACTTTACGCAGGCACCTTAAGACTTTGCGGTGATGTCCATTCAGATCTGCTGGACATTGCAGTGTTTCTCCAGAATCAGTCGGACACATAACCCAAAACAAAGTAAAACTGGATTAAACTAAACAAGCGGGTCATGTTTGCTTCCATTATATCAAGCTCTCAAGAAAGGAATGAAAGCATCTGTTGTTCTATTGCTCTCTTAACTCAGAAAAAAATACTCCGAAAAACCAAACAAAAAAAAAAATACCATGAAAAACAGAAACAAAATTACCACGAAAAACAGAAAC